CATCGACTTCGAGACTGTAGGTTCAAAAATTCACGAACGAATTCACATTAATTTTAAATTCTCTTTGGTAATGATGGGTTATTGTAATATGTGGATTTTGTTCGGAATATTCTTGGCTGGTTTGTAGATTTGTTATTTTCCTCCGCGTAAAGCAGGCTATCAGTGAAAGGGATCCTTCTGTGAAAGCAAACGTTCTCATTTTAAATTAAATAGCAAAAATCATCCTTGGCTTGAACTTTTTGAAAATGATATGGATGCAGCGTATTACGTCGTACAACTTGATGGACCGCGTACTGTGATATGTTAAATTGCCTGCATATCCTTCGGGTACTGGTTTGGGGTAGTGCGACCTCCGTTAATGCGTTTGCAAAGAGAGCCCGTCTCTCGAGCTTTCCGATCAACATTAGCAAACGTTTGTCAATTCGAAATCCCACGATTTGGAAATTTTCGGTACTCCACCACACTTCTTCCGCAATTACTTTCACAAAAACCCAGTATTAAGCCATTTCTTATTAAAAATACTTTGGTTTCACGAAAAAAACCGTAAAGTACACAAGGAAGCTGATGCTTGTAATTTACTTAATCCGATGAGACAACCAAATCTCCAGCAAAAAGTAGCACAGTCTACTATGATAAAATGCATAACTCGAAAACGAGGGCAGATACGAAAAAACTGCAATAGATAACAAATTCTTAAATTGAAGAACATTGAAAAAATTTGTTCGATAAAAGGGGGGGATTACACTAGAATAAAAATACCCTGTAGATTTTCTCACAACCAATTAGCTTACCTGCACGTGGAGGCTCTAAACAGTAGTCCCCTGTTAAAAATTTGAGCATGAACATAAACTGTATCTCGTTACCTATGGGTCTGAGAAAAAAAACTTACGGCAACTCGACGTGTTTTAAGGTCCTCTACACGCCCCTGCTCTGTGTTCATAGGGTTGTTGAATCACCCTGTATACCCTATACATCACACTCATTTAATAGTTTGGCAACAAAACTGCTCAATTTATCAAAAAGCCCTACTAACTTCATAGTGTCACTTCACCACATCAACTTTTATTACTAATAGTAAGTTAATGTTTAAATCTTATACCACAATTTAATGTTAAAACGTTGTCTAATCAAAATGTGCACAATCGATAGATCTAATTAATGTCGTAGCGTTAAGCTATCCTTGATGCACTTCTGATTTTCTGATGCATTTTAAGTGCTGAAAATCCCAACTTAACAATTAAACACAAATGTGACGCGACTAAATGTTCACGAAACATTAATGGAATTGTTTTTCGCCAAATACAACAAATTCCAAAGCTTTTGCATGTTTTTTGTGTATAACCTGCAACTTTCTACTTATGCTTGCAGTTGACCCAACAACCAATAAGCAATAAAATTTCATATGCATATATGAAAACTTTGAAAACTTTATGGCGAAGTTAAATCGCATCTGCTAGAGCTAGTTTCCTTTAGAAAAAAATTAATTTCTTAACATATATTTCTTGGTTTCTATGTAAGCCCCATCATTAAACCTTTATAAGGGATGACGTTAATCTAGTCTTAGCGGCGCCAAGTAAAATTGCGTAATAAATAAATCCAAAGTCACTACAAACGCAACTAATTTAATGGTAATATTAATGAGACGTCTAAAAAGATATCAGCTATCAAACGAGTTTATTGGCTTCAAAAAATCAAACAGATAACTGAACTATTCCACAGACCTTACAATCAACAGCAATTGAGTTTGTGTGTTTACTATGCGCCAATTTTTCACGAGAATAATTGGAGATATTGGAAACTTAATTAACATTGTTTTAAATGCGATTGAGTCAGACGTTTGAGGTTAAATTATGGAATTGAATGTATTTAAATAGCTTTTAATCATTCTCGGCCATTAAAAGCTGAAAGATATAAATTAAACTTCAAAATTTAACAACATTATTTTATATTGTCGAATAATAAACTACAGGTTCTTAAAATTGTATAATTGTTTCAACAAATAATCCGAATAACATAGTTAAACTTTCGAAATGTTTGCTTGTGCGAAGGGGAAAGCGATTGATCCCAAATGAGAACTGGAAATATTAAACACTCTAAGGAGATGCCAACTTGTCTAGACATCCGCCGATCTACTTGACCAATAAATACAATTTTTCGCATTGTAAATTAATACGGATTTCAAAGTTAGCAGCCACCTAAGAGTGTTGGAGGTTTATTCAATGTAACTTCACTCGGATTGGTAATATCAAAGTAGATTAATGCAACTAAAATTGTGTAAGAACTTATCCACGCAGTATGTCATAACGTTTACTACGGTTTGTAGCGAAAATAATATGCATATCCGACTATGCATGTCTTTATAAAACCGCTAAGGGAAGCGCCCACAGTAAACGACAACAACTTAACTTATTACAATTAAGAAATACAAAATTATTTAAACATTTTTTTACAAATTAATTTTACTGAACATAACAAATTCAGAGGATCCTGGGGGATTGTGTTACAATAATTGGAAATTTTATACAGAGTTATTCACGCTATACGGCACGGACGTGTGCGACTAGCCCGTTTGTTTTTTGCAAAGTATTATTTGATGAATCCACAGACGCCTATCGGGTACAGATTTTAAAAATATTTTTGTAATGTACAGAGTGTCCCAAAGGCCCTAAAAGTATCAAAGTTGTGTTTTCCTAAGTGAAATACCCTATATATTATTGCATTTTTGAATTCTCTGATCAAAATAAGTGTTTGTTTTAATAAGATTTATAATGTCTAAATCTAAAGGTTTTTTAAATAATTCGAATTTTATCAAAATCTAATAGTACTTTCATGTGTCAAATACTTTAGAATTATTTAAGTTATGTAAATGTAATTCGTAGTTTGGTGTAACAAAAAATCATATTTTATATCCCAATGATAATAAACTTACCATTTTATACAGAGTATACACAAATTTTAACTACTCAAATAAGAGCTTTAAGTGGCTATAACTTGATTAATTTAAATACAACCCCATATTTTTTAGCTTACCAGGCAATGCAATTTTAATTTTTAATTACTTATCGAATGGTACTAGGATGTTGATAACTATTTTTTTCCTTTTTACAAAATACACCAAATAATGGTTCTGTGCACCATTTGGTGATTTTTTAAATTAAAAAGTTAAATAACATATCAACAATAACATGAAACAAAGGCAAATTATTTATATCAAATGTTCGAAATGTTGACCGTCCATTTCCAGGCACTTGTAAATTCTTTTTTCAAAACCACTGCTAACTCTGGACAACATTTGCGGAGTAACAGTTTTAAAAGTCTCTCTTATGCGTGATTTCATATCGTGTGAAGTTGTCGGAAGCGTATGGTAGACAATTTCTTTTATGTACCCCCACAAAAAGAAATCTAGTGGAGTTAAGGCCGGAAATCTGGGGGGCCAATTTTAAAACCCATTTCTGCCAATCCACCTGTTTTGAAAGTTGGCATTTAAAAATTGCCGAACTTCGCAGTGATAATGAGGCGGAGCTCTATCGAATGGAAGCCACATCTTGGTTCTAATATTGAAAGGGACTTTATAACACAATAACACATTTTCGAAAAACTTTTCATTTCCTGCCACTTTATCTAACACCCACATTCAAAACTCAGTTCGGTTTTCAAAACCATTTCCATAAAGTTCTTGGCAAAGCTGAATTTTATAAGGATAAAAGTTGTGCTTTTTGATAATTCTGGAAATACTTGATTGAGTAATGTTAGTACTTTTGGATATTAGACTTTGACTGACATTGGGATATTCGATAACTGAACCAATTACCGTGAGAACATTTTCTTCATCTTCAGTGACAGATTTCCCTGTAATGAGTTTTCTTTAATTGACCCTCCCACTTTCCTCAAATGGGTGTAATAAGCGCTTAAAACCTGTTGGCTTACGCTGATTTCTTTCAGGAAACTTTTGAGCATAAACTCGAGAAGCCAATAAACAATTTTTATGACATTCGCCGAGGGTGAAAATCATGTCAATACGCTCTTCTCTTAGATTATTCTTCATTTTCACTTAGCAACACAATAGTAATATTAAAATAACGACCAACACCTCTACAATTACAAAAAACAATACCACTCTAGCTATCAAAAAGAGACTTTGCAGTATAAACGGACAAATAAAATAAAAGATTTGAGATGTGTAAATGGCATAGGCAACTTAGATACATGGGAACCTTAAATTAAACAACACCAAATGGTGCACAGAATGACTATTTGAGGTATTTTGCAAAAAGGCAAAAACTTAGCTATTAACATCCTAATACCATTCGATAGGTAATTAAAAGTTGCATTTCCTGGTAAGTTAAAAACTATGGGGTTGTAATTAAATTAATCAAGTTAGAGCCACTTAAAGTTCTTATTTCATTAGTTTAAATTTGTGGACACCCTGTATAACAAGGTAAGTTTATTATCATTGGGATATAAAATATCATATCTTGTTACACTTCACTATAAATTACGCTTACATAACTTAAATACTTCTAAAGTATTTGACATGGGAAAATTAGATTAGATTTTGATTAAATTCGTATTATTTTAAAAACCTTAAAATTTAGGTATTATGAACCTTTTTAAAACAGACACTTATTTTGTTCAGCGAATCCAAAAATGCAATAATATACAGGACATTCCATATAAAAAAACGCAACTTTGATACTTTTAGAGCTTTTGGGACACCCTGTACATTACAAAAATATTTTTAGAATGTGCGCCCGGTAGGCGTCGGACAATTCATCAAATAATACTTTTTAAAAATCAAACGGTTTAGCCGCAAACTTTCGTGCCGTATAGCGTGAATAACCCTGTATACGTTATTGAGTCCCAGAATAAGATTCCAGTTTTAACAATATCCAGTTTCCAGAGATTAACAATATCTGTAAAATATAATGCGTTACTCCATTGAGAGTAAATGATATATCAATGTGGACAAAATAATAGAGGGGAAACTAACAGTTAATGTGCCAAAATCTTATAGTTGAAGCTAGTAAAGTATCCACCTAGTTGCCAAACGGGTGCAGCCGGAAAAAATATTTTGGTTGCATCGTCATCGTATACGATTTTAATGCAAGCGCGCCGGATTCGAAATTAATTTTAATTTTCAAATCTCAAAAATAAAACCCGAAATCAAATGACCAAAAATCTTAACAAGGTTCAAGCTTCGACACCATGTGAGGAAATATCTGCGAGTAAAATGTTTGATGAAAATATACTTTAATCTTGATGTTCGTTCACTCATTAATATTTATTTCTGTCAATTTAATATTATCAATTAATTGGAAAATTAATTATTGGATAAAGTGTTTTTATAAAATGGTTTATATTAATTCACTTTCAGGATCTCTGATATAACTTTAATGACTGCTTAAATTACTATTCCAGTTTTAAAAATCTATAAATAAAAAAGACTAAATCATCAACGAAAAGTAATTTTCTGTAAATTGATTGTTTGTTTTTTATACTTTGCTCCTGCATATT